AGGTAAACTTAATGAAAAACTAAACATGACCTGCCAACCAGGAAAAGCACGTTTCGCTTTACTGCGCGTCCAATTTGGCGGAGTCACCGATTCGGTAACCAGCTCGCAGCAGCACCCCTGGTATAATGTGCAAAAATCCCTATAATTGGCATTTTCAATACCAATTCCCAACGCCCAATTCCGCGAATTGCCACGAGGAAAGTCGTCGAGTGTCGATTTCACCGAACATTACAATCAGCCTGGCATCTTTCTTCACGTTCAATTACGGTCGGATTTAAAAAGGAATCGCTACTGTTTGCTCTTCTTGTTCCGCTGCCGGACGATCGGTCCATTTTCTAATCAAAGAAAAGGCAGCGGAGAAAGAAGATTACTTCGGCAGGCCGACGGTCAAAGGCCGCCTAATTTGCTGAAAGATGTTGCAAAATTGAAAATCGCAGTCGCTGCGTCCATATCATCGATCCTCGAAACAAACACGCAAAGAAAGGGAGCAAACTACTTGAGCGAATCCCTCTTTCCGAGCGGCTGCACTCAAATCAACCCTTGTTTGGCAACATGGTCCTCACATAGTTAGAAGGAAACCTGGGGTTTACCTTGGAAAATACATAAGCTGATAAAAAAAATTTAAAGAAGAAATAATAATTTATTTTAGTAATAAATTTAATATTTATTTAATCTTATTCTTATTTCCCATTTTTAAAATAAATTAATTTTGAAATAATCCAAAATAATCAAATAATTTAATCTCAATTTTCTAAATTACTCACCCTCCCCTTCTAAAATTATTATATTTATTTTTATTTGAAACTTCATTTTAAATTTTTCCTATTACATCAAAATAATCTTGAAATTATTTTGAGTTTGTAAATAAGAAGTAGTTTTTTTTACCATCTCAACCGTTTGAAATGAACATTTGTTGCAATTCTTTCTGAACGGCCGTAATATGGATTGACACTAATGCCCCCTCATCCTCTCGACCCTCATCCGCAGACTCGTGGCCAGAATGCCAAGCGATGGAGGAAGTTCCACCAAACTTTGCCAATCGCCGTGATTGGCATGCGGTGAATTGCAACCGGAAAACGGCCATCAAAAAGGTCATTTTTCGGCACATAAAAAGAAAGAATTCTGCGTGATTTTTATTTTTCGAGCTACCAAATCGCATCACAAGAGCTCTTTTTCAAAAGAGACTGTGCAAGCAGGCGCCGACCGCAAAAATTAAAACCGCAGGAAAAGCCGACTTGCAACTCGCAGGGCAAAAACACAAGTCAGAGGGAGAGAGAGAGATGGCGGCCCTCTGTTATCATTACAAACGCAGGCAGCGGGCGAAACGAGGAAAAAAACACAAACAAAAGTCCTCTCGCAACACATGGACCGGCAGGTATGCGGGCCGGCGGGTGGGTGGAGAGGACTGGCAGCCAGCCAGGGGTGCTTTTGGCGAGGGTTAAGTGGCGCTGCATCGAATAATGGTACTATTTCCTCGCCACTCTCACGGATCGCCCTTGCCTTGCATTGATCTGTCCGTCGCCGCCACCGCAGCAGACTCGCTGTAAAAAGGACAGACAAATGCTGAGTGTGCATCCGCCACGCAAACTCGGCCGACAAACGCAAAAACAAAAGAGCTTCTGACGCACTGCTCGACCAGTCTAGAAAGAAAGAGATTTGCGAATGGCCAACTTTTTCACTGCTGAATTTTTAAAGCTTTTTTATTTTACATGAGCTACTGTGAAGTTGGACGCTTTTTAGCAGATTATGCTGCGAGCCCCGTCCAGACAATTTCCACTCTGAAAACTGAAAGTGATTTATTTTTGAAAGAAAAATTTGTGGATTTAGGTTTTTAATAGAAGCGCTAAAATTTTAACCGCAGACAGTAATCAGTGTTAAATTTTATTATATTTTTATCTGCTCACCGTTTGCCTGTAAATGTAATTTTTAATTTATTTCCGGAATTCCATTTGTAAGAAGTGCCTCAATCCAATTTTTAAATGAGTATCTAAAAATATAGATAAAAAGAATTATTTATTATCCTGAGTTTAATATTTCTAAGATTGATTTGAAAATCAAATTTCAATCAAATTAATTTATGTTTGAGGAAGTAATATTCTTCAATTATTATTGTTTCTTACTATGATTTAAAAATAATTAACAGCATCCATCTTCTTTTCTTCTTTTTCACTTCAAAGATCGCAGTCTGCACAACTTGTTTGCAAAACAGAACCGTCGTTGGAAAGAAAGCTATAACATTTGTGTTAACAAACAACGTCAGAATACAGAAAGCTTGTTTACAGTGCAACCCTTTTCTTCTGTGAAGCAATAAAATTATTTCAAAGCTGTCGCTCCAAAGAACATTTGCATCAACTAGTCAGCCAGTTTCTTTCGCAAGAAACTCGGAGTAGATGAAAGAAGAAGATCTGATTATTATTGCTCTCGGCGAAATTAGATTCGACCGTTTCAAGTTAGAGGCAATTTCCATACAAGTAGGTCGGCGAATAAGAAGAGATGATAAAAGTAGCAAAGGCACAAGAGGAAAACTTTAACAAAATTCCCCAGCTAATTAGAGAAGCGCTTGAAATTAATAGCTCTCTAATTAGCCGCGTTTCTCACGCTTGTTTTGCGCAAAAACTGCAAGGCCGGCTGGTGCTAATTTGACGGCGCCTTCGCACTTGCTGGTGATAAACTGCGTTTCCTCGCAAAGAGGTTAATTGACTTCTGGAGAGCGTTGTTGGTGCGGCGGCGATGAAGAGCCGTGCGCGAATCTGTCGTGCAAATAAGCGAAAAAGCGCGCGACCCTTGAGCGATTGTTTCCTGTTTCTCTTTGTGCTGAACAATGAAGGGACTCGGTTCACGGCTGGGCCCAATCTAAATGTTGACACACCAATGGTCTGTTCTTTCGTGCCAAGTTTTCCCATTAATTATTGTACTTGCAATTAGTTTGCAGACAAGTTTACGGCGGGGATTTATTAAAGAGCTCAGGTTTTCAGTAAACAAAGTTTATTAGAGCGGATTTTGCTAATTAATAAATCATTTTATTCCTTCCCATGCTAATTTTTTTTTAACTTTCTCCAATACTGGTTGAAATTTTTAAAGATATAAAATAATTTCATTTAAATTATTATTTTCTTTTTTTGTGAAATTATTTATTTTTTATTTACAGCATAATGTTCTACGTTCTATTGTTATTTTATATTCATTAAATTTTTTTTTAAATCAGCTTTAGATTTATCTCAGAAATTGTTGTATTTCAATTCCATCACTCACTGAAAAGCAATTACATAGAAATTTAGAAAAATTAAATCAAAATTTTCAAGATTTATGAAATATTTACACAATAATAATACCTTCACGACATTTTACTTGAAATTAATTTTAACATTAAAACCTTTGATTAGATAATGACTTTTCCTTTTCTTATGTTATAATATTTTATCTAACTATGTTCCCTTCATAACAATTTCTAAATTTTTTATTTCTTTCTAAGCAAACCCAAAAGAAATTTATCACATTTTATCCCACCTCCAAAAATATGGAGTTTTTGACAAAGACGTTTGCGCTCAACTTGCTCTCCAACTCATTTCCCCGCAGAGTCGTTGGAATTGATACATTGCCGTGTGTTGCAATGCTTCAGTCAAGAGCTCGTTCTGCCTCCGCTAATTATGGCTGCTTTGAAGTTAATTTGTTTAGTCAGCGCCGCATGACAAATTGCTACCTTTTCCAAGCTTTTGTTTGTGATCGGGGCGCACGTGTGCCAAGTTTGAAACGTTCAGTGAGGGAATTCGCTCTCATTAACGTGTGTATATGTTTATAGGGGTCTATAATATACATGGACTATTCCGGACCTATTGAACGCACCGTGGCATTTAGTTTGCGGTTTCGCGTGCGAGCGTGAGGGGCGAAAGCGGCGTTTGCTTTTTGGGGCAGAAAATTGCCAAGTTGCCAATTGGTGCGCACGGCTGATGACCAATTTGGAATAGCAGTGTGCGTGCGAATGCCTGTAATTGTATTCAACTGATACAAACTAGTGGAACAAAAATTGGTGGAAATGAACTCTTGAATTGATGCAAAAGTAATAGCAAAAAATGTACCTGCAACTAAAGAAAAAAATGAATATATAAAAATAAAGAAACTGAGAATTTGCAACAAACTATAGAATAAAATTTAAAAAAATAATAAGATCCGATACATTTAAAAAAAAAATTGGAAAGTTTAAAATAAAAATCCGAGCAAAATATTACCAAATGGACCAAATTTCATGAAATTTAAATAAATAAATTTGGCTTTGAAATTTCCTTCATTTAATTTTGTTTTCTATAGAACTAAGAATTTGGTTGAAAACTCACTTAAAAACCTCACATAGGTTTTTTTAAACAGAAATTTGAGCCAAAAATGTTTTACTATTTAATTATATTTTTTCTTTTTGTAAATTTTTTTTGCGAGGCACATTTTGAATCTTCAATCTATGCATACAAAATGGTTGCTTTAAATCTCTCATTGATTTTATTAACATATTAATTTGCAATCAAATTCCTACAGTTGAAAAAAATTGAAATATTTATAATATAAAATCACAAAAATAAAACAGACATTCTCTTGATCAAACAGGGACTGTTAATATTGATTTGATTTGATTCTTTCGAATTTGATTTAGCAGTCTTTAAATTAACAAGCTGAAGCAAAACTGCTCTCGAGGTATATAAAAATTTCCGTCTATATTGGCAGCAATTTGCACGAAAGCGTCCATTGGAAAGCTGCTCAAAGGGGCTGCAGAGCCGGTGGCGGCCGAGCACTCAACTCGTAAACGAGACCCTTTTCCGCATCCGCGACGAAAAACAAGGTCGCCGCCGTTTCTGAGCTTATTGAATCAAGCGAGCGAGCGAGCGAAGGGCGAGGAGGCCTTTTTGGCCTCGTTTTTCCGCGACACCTGCGTGCGTGCAGCGGGTTGCCGGATATTGCATTTCTAGCGTGAGTGTTTGTGCCGTTTGACAGGAAAGCGTGCTTTCTGATTGCAGATAAAGTGAAGAAGAAGTACGGAGCTCTGAAGGGTACACTGATGATCGCCGCCCTCGAAAGGGGTCAACAGGGGCTGGGCATCAGCTTGGCCGGCCACAAGGATCGAAACCGGATGGCGGTGTTTGTGTGCGGCCTTAACCCCAGCGGAACCGCCTGCAAAGAGGGCACCCTCAAAGTCGGAGACGAGATTCTCGAAGTGAGTACTTTTTCCCGTCAATTCCTAATTAGATTCTGATAGGTCGAGAAAGAAAGAGTTGTTTGACTTGCAAAGGCTGGATTTTTTTCACAGAGCACCAAGTCCCTCGGTCTCGATGCCAATTAAAATTTCACTCGCCGATAAACTTGCACTCGCTGTTTTACCCCTCAAGTGAATGTGAGCCGCAGTCGGTTATTTACTTTCTCTAATTGGCTCCACAACCCCTTTTTTGTTTAACAAAAATCCAACTGGCTTAAAATTCCACGATAATGCTCCCCAAAAAAAGCAGATTCTGCAAAGGAGGGTTTTACAGCTGATTGTATGAATTAAAATTTTTATCCGCTCTTAATGAATTATAAACATTCCGCTGTTTGTTTATTTACATTGCCGACAAGCACTTAAGGCCAAATTTTCCTCCTGACAGCCCTAAACAATTTTGCCTTATTCGAAACTGAATTAAATTTTTTTTTAGTAGTAGAAAATATAAAATATTAAATTAAAAAATACTTTATTTAAAGGCATAAGGAAGTTTTGGAATCTGGCTAATGGTGTCAGGAAAGTTAAAGTTTTCCATGTGAAATTCGAAAAAAATTTAAAATTTTAACGTTTTTTTATGTGGCTTATATAGTATTTAATTTTTCTCAATTCTAGCAGGCAAATTTTTGTGGGGATTTAATTAACGAAAGGTTTGAAAGAAATATTTTTCACTTTTACAATGTGCACTTTCAAAATCAGAAAAATTTCAAAACCGTTCTTATACAACACAAATCAATTTAAATTTTAAATCTATAGATTAATAAGTTTTAAATGTATTACTTTTTATCTTTGATTATATTACTTGATTACAAGTCGTAGACTTAAAAGTCAATATTTTATTGAAAATCAAGCTTTATATTATAATGCAAACAGTTTCAAAAATTGTAAAATTTATTTTATCCCGGAATTACTTCTCTATTTTTTATTTCTAGATTGAAAGAGACTTTCGGAATATAATGCCTCTCCAAGGAATTTAATTTAAAAAAAGGTTCACTGATGCAGATTCTGCCTGACAATGCAGGTTTTGTAGTGCACAGTGATTCGCTCTGCAGTGAAATTGCCACAGATGCGCAAGTGGGGTGCAATGCAGAGTTCTTTTTTTTATTTTAACTTTGAGTGCAACTCGAGCTCCTGCTTGATGGCTTCGGGAGCAGCTGTTGACCCAATTTTTGCTGCACTCCATATCGTGCAGTCGCGTTACTCGGCCGCCGTCGCTCGTTAAACGCCTCCGCACACAATTAGCCACCCAGCGAAACAAGCGTTGTTAAATCGCGGCCGTTTTCCCGCCAATCGATTGCGCATTGCGCCTCTCTTGAGCGGCATGCAAATCGATCAGAAAATAATAATGCATCGTTGACCCTCGTCGTGGCACGGCTATTTGCGGCGGCTTAATTAATTGGCTCCTCTCAAGCCGCGCTCCGCTGATCGTGAAAAATCGCAAGGGCGCGCGCGTGCCTCTCATCTTCTCCCTCTCAATTCACAATCAGTGGCGCATCTACCCTTTTTCAAAAGACATTGTTTTGATTGAAACAAACGGTATAAGTATTTTTACTGAATTAATAAAAAAAAATTAAGACAGTTTAAATCAAAGTATTCTGAAACGTTAAAAAAATATTTTCTGCAGTGAAAAGTTTTATTATTATTAAAAACTGCTGTATGTACCAATTTTGGTTATCCTTTTTTTGTGCTTTTTCATGAGAAAAAATAATGAAGTAAATAGAATTCTCCAAAATATAAACTTCTGTAATGAATCTTTTACTCCACTTAGTTGTATTTTTATACCGACTCGGTCATTTTCAAATTTTTACTCTTCTGTGTGACGATTTGATCAAGGGTTTTGGCGTCATTGTCCTGAAAGGCAAACTGGAGGTCTGTAAAAAAAAAATACAATTTTCACTTCATGATTATCACTGCGAGTGTGTTTGAGTGCTTAATTCTTTCCTCCAGATATGAAAAAATATTTAGAAATATCAGCAGATTATTACTTCTTTCCTCCATATCAAAATATTGTTTAGAAATTAAGGTCAAATTTTTTTATTTAAATTTTGTATCTCTCAAATGAACAATTTTTTACCATTTTAAAGGCCCTAAAAGCAATTATTAAAATCAACTTAATTTGTAAATTTGCAGGAAAACGTCACCGACAAAATTATTCTGCCAAAAAAAAAATTAATATTTCGATTGTAACACCTTAAATTTTGAATGAATCTGAAATACTTTTTCAATCCTTTCAATTTTAACAAGGATTGAACGCAACTATGGCTGTACAAAACTAGCGTCAAACACTTGAAGACAATATAAATCAAGAAAATTAATTAACAGTTTTCCATGAAATGTTTATAAAACCATATAAAGAGCTTTTCTAGATTGCATTGGCTATGGAGACGAAGTATGAAGATAAATTTTTGAATAATTCTGCTAATTTTTTTTCTCGTTATAAAATTGAGTTTGAAACAATGAAAAATTGTTTTTTTTGCGCTGCAAAAAAAATTTAGGAGAAAAAGCATAAAATCAATTATAAATTAAAACCATCTAGCCACTTTTGTTATTATTTTTCTCCGTTTTTCCGTCAAAATATCTTGCAACAAGTGATTTGGCAAATTTCTTTTGCCGAGCGAGACCGGCCACTGCTGATTGTGAGTGGTGACTTTGGCTAGTGAGTTTTTGGCCCCGGCTAATCCCCCAAAGGCCGTCCGGTCGGCCAAGAGGAGATGGATGTGCGGGTCCCTTTGATAAATAAAAGCGCACGGCAAAGTGACGTCCATTCATGTGATACCTACACCCCCTTCAATTACCTAATTTGATGACGTCAATTGACTGCGCAGAGCGTTTTCTTGCCTTCTAATTATTGCACCGGCGGTGGATTTTTTTTCTTATCGCACGAGAAGGGCTAAAAAAAATGGCGAGAACCACAATGAATTTCATTTGCATGCGTCCCATCTGGACGGATAATGCACGCAAGCCGCACTGCCTAAATGAAATTCCGCCCGTTCCATCGGCAGCAAGGCTTCTCTTTCATCACGTAATGAGCGCCGTTGATGAAAATGAGGGCCTAGAATTTCATTCATCCGATTCGCTTTGAACTCGCACGCCGCGCCGTGTGAATGAATTTTGACCGAATGGACTGGAAGCCAATTCAACTCAAAGCGAATGTTGAGTTATTCCAAGACAATGCGACAAACTTTGTAAATTATTTGACTGATAAGATTTCCTAAACTCTATTATGCAGAAATATTTGTTAACAGTCAAAAACGCAACCCACTCAAAATGTAAATTTGAATTTTTTTTTTTTTTTTAATTGCTTTTAAAACCGGCAGAATCGGCAGATTAAATTTCTTCTCCATTTTATGTTTTGAAATAGAAAATCAAAACAGCATGACTGCATGTATGGGTGGCTTTAATATTTTATTTCGAAGCTGCACAAATTTTTAAGGGAAGTTTTTACCACTGTATGATAGATTGATTCTTAATTAAGTGAAGTAAGTGAGTTAATTAACCACAATGTACATCTTTCAATGAAAACAAAAATCATTTCAATAATGATGCTCATTAAATTTAATTTTTGAGAATTTTAATTAAATTTCAAATTAATTCTTATTTACTCTAACATGTTCCTTTTTTTATTTTTCATTCAATGGAGATTTTAATAAATTGATCGTTCTATAAAGCAAAACTCAATTATTATTAATTTGCTATGTATTTTCAATTAAATTATATCTATTTTCAAAACCTTTCAACCATACAATAAATTTTACACTTTTGTAACTACAGCATTTATTCTAATGTCCTATTAAGATCGCTTAAGGAATTCCTCTAATATTTCTTTAAATATTGCTTTTATTTCATCCAATCTCTGAAAGTTTTGATGAGGAAATATTCAGAAACATTGAAGTTTTGGTCGTTTTTTCTGGATATATTTGTTATTCAACCAACTTTTTTCATTTTCAAATTTTTGTGCAAACAGCTTCCAGTGGTTTTTGCAATAATTTCCAGAATTATTGATAACTCAAAGTCAACAATTCCGACCATAACAAAGCCCGTCAGCAACGCCATGCATAATTCAATCAGTTTGCGGCAAACTTTGACATTTTGCAAATCGCATTTCGGTTCTTGCAAAAAATTAACCAACGTCGTTAAGCACACGTTGTTGCCTTTGATGAATTTCTCGCTAAGTCGGACCGAGTTGCGAAAGTTTACCTCTGGTTGCCTGTTTTTGGCCTCGCAAGCGACGCCCCTTGAAGGATTCGCACGTCGTTAGCAGCGGCGCTCTCGAGACAAGCCCGATTAAAATCAAGGCGGCCTCATTAGAATTTCGATCCGCTTCTGCTCGGCTGATTCGCTAACGAGACGCGATGCTCTACCCAGTGTTTGCTGTGACGTCCGCAAATGAAAACATTTTGCGCCGCACAATTGATCCCGTCGAGCGAAAAATTGACGCCGATTCCGATATTGGCTGACGAGGAAACGATGCCGTCGGCGCCATTATCATGCCAGACGCGACACACACATCAGACAGATCAATCCGCGCGACGTGTATCTCTTTTGCTCTGCGCTCGGACGTTTTTTGTTGTGCCAAAGAGCGGAGGAGGCGTTTTCGGTGTTTTATATTCCCCTGTAGTCAATATTATTTGTTAGATAAAACTTTCAGTGCCTTTTTAAAGCATAATTTCTTTTCTTTTAGGTTCATATATTTTATTTGATGATTTTGTTGCAAAAAATTTAAGTAAGGGCAGAAAAATTAAAATAAACGTCCGAAGTCCAAAACATCTAAACCTGGCAAAATTTTAAATTTTAAATTTTTTTATTAATATCGTAAATTAATTATGAAAATTCATGATCGCATTGAATTAGTCTGCTTTATATAAAATTAAAAATCTAATTATCCAATATGAAACAAGCCACTTTGATTGATATTGTGTAGGCAAGGATTTCCATCGTTATTGAGAAACTATGAATCCAAGAATAATTTATTATTATTTTAATAAAATAATTTTTAGTGTGCTTTTTTAATGTGTGCGGTGACACTGGATATTATGCAAATAATTTAAAAGTTAAGTATATTATAAATATTTCAATTTACTAAATTTTCAAAATAAGTAAAAAAAATTTATAAGAAAATTAAACCAAACAAGTGTTAATATTAATATAATATTAAATACAAATTGTTCTTTAATGTAATCTACAATTGTCTTTAATTTTTTGAAGTTACTGTAGATTTTCTTAAATATTTAATTGACAAACACTTGTTCTTGAAGCAAATACAATATTAAGAAATTAAACTTGTGAACTTATGTACTGTCAACAAATAAAAAAAATTTTAAATTCTAAATTTTATTATAATATGCTTAATTTTACTGTTGAAACTTGGAAGTACTTCTTACATTGCTGAAAATAGACTTTTCGTAGGATTTATTTTTTTAATTTTTTTTAAAGAAATAGGCCTTTCACCTGTCTAAAGCTTTTTCAATATGAGTCCAGTAAGAAATTCTCTCTTGCACGTTTCATGGTCATGGCCGAGTGCCACTTGAATCAAAAAGGTCAACTAAATTGATTGGGTCAGAGATCAAAATGGTCATTGTCAGCAAAAGTAATACCCTTTCAAGACAATACATTCATTTTCACTTCCCAACAAACAATAAATTCTGATACAATTCATTTTAAGATGTCTTCAAAATAGTTTATGTGTTTGAGCTGAGAATGAAAATTGGAGAACATCAACAATGCCTTTGTACTTCAGAACGGCCAATAATTTTTGGCAACTTTTTTTTCTTATTTTTTTGAAAAACTAGATTAATTTGAAAAAATATTGTAAATTGTAACGTAGGAAATTTGCCAACATTAAAAAAAATTCAATGGCACACCAGTGTAAAAATTAATCTCCAAAGGAAGTGCAAGTTGCATAAAAACTAACATCAAAATCGGGGGGTCTCATATGATCTCAAAAACATAGCTTGCAAGTTCATTGACCTAAAAAGAAGTCGACGACCGCTGACTGGAAATATCTGTCAGCATACTTGGTTTTTATGCACGTGGAACTTGGGAGAGAATTTCCATTTTGCCGAGCTTCCGGTGCTGAGAAAGAGAGAAAGAGTCAAGTCAACAAGTCAAATGGGCATCATTCGGTGTCTATCGACCGCGTGATGCAGTCTGCGGAAAATGCACTTGTGAGTGGGTGGGTGGGTGGGCGGGCGGGTGGCCGCGGCAGCCCTCTCTGGATGCAGCAGCCGAACTAGACTATCGATCGCCGTGCCCGAGTCACTCACAAAGAGCAGCTCGCGCGTTCGCTCGCCGTAAATGAAATTTATTGCATCCGAAAAAACATTTATACACATTCAAAAGCGAGACCAACTCTCGCTATTCCGTTTGTTTTACGGCTTGTTTTATTGTTTTCATGCCGAAATAATGGTGCCGGGTTGAAAAGTCGCCGCGTCGATGCAAATCACGTCGGATTTCGCGGCCAAATTTTATTATCCGCCTTCGCGCGGGCAACGTTCATTTCTGCGCCCTTTTCCGAGCGAGAAGAAGTAGAAAAGCGTCGGCGTTTGCATTATTTAGGTGGAAGCAGCGAGAAGCCGCCTAAAGAAGGAGCGAACCCAAGTCGGCTGCCGGCGAGAAAAATCTGCGCCCACTCGCGAAATAAATAAAGAGAGAAAGAAGGAAAGAAAAGGTTTTTCTATACACGCGCCAGCTTAACTTCTCGAGGCACCGAACCATTTTTCCGCATTTCTTCCTCTCACATAAACTGCGACTTTCCTACCTCGTATATAATAACGCCGGTTTAAATCATTTAAACTGATTTAAACTCAACCCAACTGACGGGAAAAATAATTGGATATTTAATTCTCTTCAAATTTATTTCTAACTTTGAGTTTTACAAAAGGTTCAAAGATAGCTTTGAAAAAAAAACGTGTAGAATTTCATTTTCTACTTCTTCATAATGTTTTTTTACCTTTTAATTTTCAAAGTTTTTGTTGGCTTAAGAAGAACAATTAAGATACTGTGCATCCATTCACACCCAATTATGTTATGAAAACCAGAAAAATTGTCGTTTTTCAATGGGATTTAATTTCGAGTGCAGATTAAACTTCTGCCATATTGATATCGGGCATTTTCTGCTAGTTGTAAACCCTTTCTTCCCTTTTTCAAATTTCAAAATTTTTTCGTTGGAAAGTTAATTTAACATCAGGAGATTGTTAATATTACCAAGAAGTATTGCGTTTTAATTTTCAATTAATTTTGGCCAGTCTATTTTAAACTTAATTTTAGCTCTGGTATTTTAATTAAAATATTTCAGTTACTTCTCAATAATTAATATTAAAAACTTAAACACTGATTACTTGTGTCTTATTTCAATCTAGCAAGCATTTGAGAATTGAGAAAAGTTTTAAAAATATCGGGGGAGAAAAAATGGAAATTTTAACATTTGTTATACATTTTTAACCATAGTATCATGATTTAACTTCAGTTAAACTTAACCTTCATTTTAAAATTCTCAAAATATATTATATTTTTACACATACATTTCTCTATTATTCTGGAATACACGTCTCGGTCAATTCCCAAATGTTCCACATCTTTGAAATTTTTCGTTATTACGAAGAAGTCGTAACGAATCTTCTAAAAAAAAGAACTCCTTGTTGCCTAGCATCTCCCGTCCGTAACCCAATTGTTAGTATTGATTGCATCAAAATTCTCAACTTCACGTTGAGATAAAAACCACCTATTTCTTCCTCAACTCCGCCGGGAGAAGCAGTTGTCTCTCTCTTCCTTTCTCCTTTCTCGCCGCTGCAAACTAAAACCGACAAGAGATCAATTCCCTTCGGTTTTTGCTCACTTGTCAGTACCGAGTTGGAAGGAAAGACGCGAAACACAATTTGCGCCGCGTGCCGTGTGTTTGCAGCTCAGCCCCCTTTGCTAATGGAGATCTCTTTCTTATCAAATTCCAGGTCAATGGCTGTGTAGTGCAGGGAAGATGTCACTTGAACGCATCCGCGATGATCAAGGGCCTGGCTGGACCGCTCTTCAAGGTGATTGCACTGAGGTGAGTACCTTTTGCTCTTTTGAACGAAACTCTCGATTTCAATTGAGAAAAAAAACTCAACTTTAGGTAGATAAATTTAGGCTGGATAGGAATATTTGCGGGATAAATGAGACTAAAACAAATTATCAACTATATTTAGGATTTTAAAGGTTTTTTCGAATTAAAACTTTTCAAATTTAGAATTAGTGCAGATCTCGTTCAAAAATGGTACAGAAATGGTGCAGAACCGGTTTGCATCAGTTCTACACCAGTTCTGCACCATTTCTGAAGCAGTTCTGAACCAGGGGATTGTTTTTATACAGTTTATGGGCATCTCTATAAAATTTTAATTTTTCAGTTTTTAGAAAAGTCACTAAAAATTTTTTTAGAGGTTTCCTCAGCTTAAGGAAAAATTCATTTTTCATTTGAAGTGCATTTAAAAAAAAATACTTCACTTTCATAAAATTGAAACAATTATTTCTGGTTTGGAAAATTTTTATTTGAGATTTTTTTGCTTTTAAACGAATTCAACTGGATCTTTTTAAACAAAATTTTAGCCTCTAAATAACACTTTTGTGTAGAAAAGATACCAAAAAAGAACATTTTTCAACAGTCTAGGTATTTATCAATATTTCCGGCCTTATGTATATTCGTTTTCCCTCGAGTGCCCGCGTTTATCTACGGTTCCTTTCTCTCTCTCTCTCTTTTTACGCCGGCAGCTCGTCATTGTCATGCATGTTTTATATATTTTTTTGTGAGTGTGACAAGCGACGTTTCAGCCGCAGACCCTCCTAGACGGGTGAGCGGAAAAATACACGCCCGGAGTGCCGTCATTGAATAACTGAGCCGTCACTAAGTTGCGTTTTTTCCCGTCGCGCTTAAATTCCGCGGTTTCATTTTTCCGCCGCTGACAAGTAAAATGCAAAGTGCCGCGGGCTGGACGTGCATACCGGCGCTACGTGTTGCCAGGCGTGATATGCAAAGTACCAATTTGCATTCGACAAAACTAATAACCGTTGCGAGAATTACTCTTGCACTTAATTAATTGCCATTGAAACTATTATACACGAGTTTTTTTTCCCGAACACTGATATTTGTTTCATTAATTGTAATTATGGTTCCACTCGTGCCCTAACAAAAAGACTTGCATTAATTAATTGAACACGCTCACGCCTCGATTTTACATTGCCAAAGAAAGAGAAGCATGTTCTTTGGTATTTAATTAAAATTTTAACTTCATTTTGTTAAGAGAATAATTGAACTTTGAAGCTTTAAATTGCCTAAAATTTAAATAAAAAATATTTTCATAATGTTGATATTGTTATCAAATACAGTTGAAAAGCCATTCATTGTTAAAATTCATATAAGTTAATATGGTGTGCGCCTGATTATATTAATAATTATAGAATAATGAATGACATCATTATTAATATAAACTGCAAAAATAAACAAGTTTTTAGTTGAAAATTACTTTATCGTTTTAATTACAAAAAGAAAAAATCTTTTTATTTAAAAAATCTTTATTTTATTTATTAAATTAAACTGAATCTACATTAAAATAAAAGTAAGCTGCATTTATATATAAAAAGAGTAATAAAGTTACAGATTACTCTATTATTTAAGCCCAAATTTCATAAAAAAATTTAAAATATATTATTATCTTGTTTTAACAGTTTTTTAAGAGGAAAAATAAATTTATTGGCTTCATTTTGCAGTTTTATGTGTACTAACGAACAAACTAAACCAACAGCTTGAAAGGCAAGACACGCTCAGTTATGGTCAGCAGGATGGGTTGGTTGATTCTCTTTGAATCTAAACTAGCGGATGGGGATTCGTTGGGGTTCTGAAAGGCACACAATGGGGGCTTTCATTGAAGAATCGGTCCTTCCCATTGACATAGATCGTTGTCCCTAATGAGTTGAAAGCGACTCTGCACAAAAGCCGCCTGCGCATTAAAGATATAGAAAAAGTGGAGAGATGGCTCTCGCGGGATAGCCACTCTCCGTCGTGAAAGTAATTAATAAAGGGGCGGCCGGGATTATCCCGTCATAATCATAATCTTCGTCAAAAAGCGAGAATCGATCCGTGGCCAAACGAAACTCTTCGATTTCGCAACTTTGCTTTTCGTTATTTTGTGCAAAATGCTTTTATTGAGCGCAGCTTGAATTTATTTTAATGTCGCCGGAGCATTTTTTATCTCCTCTCTTTTTGATTGGAAAAACGTGCAGGAAATTGAGTATATGGAAAAGTTCTTCGGCTCTTTTGTGACGCAAAAAGTTGAAGAGTTTTTATGTCGTCTTGAACTTGATTGACGAATCAACTTCTGCGACTGACTGAACTTTTTGTAATAAAAGTGATTTATCCTGCATTGGACTTGTTTAATCAAGGATGTTTCCCTGGAAAAACTTGTATAAAGTTGTGAAAGTAACAAACTGTGATTAAACGTCATGCAAACACTATTTATTACTCTTTGAAATAACAATAAATGAAATTTGCTCCATAGTTTAAAGAACATTCTAACACGATTAAATCGTAAATAAAATTGCCAAACAAAAATATAATTTGGTAAAATGGCAATTTAAATGTGAAAAAATGTTTCATTTTATCAAATCCAGTGACAATTATTAAAACTGTTAAAATATTTTTGTAGAGTGAAACTTTTCAGAAGGGGAAAAAATGCAAATTAATGTTGGGATAATTTTTCACTTGCAATTTAGATTGAGAATTTTTTATAAAAGCAACAAAGATAATAGGAAAGCAGGCACTGCTTAATTAAATGTGTGTTATTTTTAATTCTCTATTTAATTAATAATTAGATTCAATTCAAATGCTAAAAATTTCTACAAAAATTCTCCGTGGATTACTTCACGTGTGTATTAAAGAAAAGCCTCTGATAAGTCTTATCGTGTCATTTGTTGATTATTGTACTCTGTTGCCCTTTTTGGCTTTAATGTCTCATTATCTCCCTGCAATAATTGTAAACTATTGAGCAAAATTAGTATCCTTATTCCATTTTTAGCAGTTCAGTCACCTGACATTTAAATATAATCAGTATAATTTAGAAACTATTGATGAGAATAAAAAGCACTTTTTTAATTTTAAACTGAAGTGTTAAAAAATATATTGATGCTTGTTAAAAACGTAGTTTTCCTTACAATTATGAAATTATAGAAGCTTGTCTTCCATTCATTTTACATTTTCTTCTCTTAATGGATTTAAGAGTGAAAAAAATGAAATCCTCTTAAAAAATAAAAGCTCTGTATTATTACGTCACCTAGATTTCTTCAGCTATGCAACTGCGTGAAGTTTCTATCCTTAATGATCCACTCTTTGCAAATATAGAGCATAAAATGAATATTTTCTAACAATTTTCTTTCGCAAGAGCTCCTCATTGGAGAAAGAGAAAAACCGAGCTCCTCATTTTTCCATTGAAGAAGCAGTGTTGAGTGCTTCTCCGCGTTTCCATGAATGAAACGTCGGTGCTCTCTCTCTCTCTCTCTCTCTCTCTCTCTCTCTCTCTCTCTCTCTCTCTCTCTCTCTCTCTCTCTCTCTCTCTCTCTCTCTCTCTCTCTCTCTCTCTCTCTCTCTCTCTCTCTCTCTCTCTCTCTCTTTCTCCCTCTCAATTATTTCTCGCAGGCAAGTAGAGCACGCAGCGCGTGTCATTTTCCTTTTTGCCCTTTTAAGACGCACCGGCGTTCTAGATAAAAAAGCAGCAGCTTGACAATCTGGGCAAAAACCTTGAAAGGTGCTCCGCAGGGGCTGTGCTGCCGACAGTTTCGCGGGCTCTTTATTAACTGGGCCAGCGATTTTATCCAAAATGCAGCGTCTCTCTCACGCGGGGGCGTTTGATTTACGACGCCCAGGGCATGCTGCAAATTCGATTACTCGCCGGGGGATGCGGATTGTTAAATCTCTCGTGAAATCCCTTATTTGCGAGCAAATTTATGTGCACTTTGCAAGGAAAACAAAAATATAATTTCCATTTGCTTGTTGGAGGAATAAGATTGAGAGTAAAAATAGGAAAAAGATTTTTGAAAGATTTGTTATTTATTTTTGAAAATTAATTTCAATCTAGCTGACTGAAAATTTAGGCATCAGCAACAGTGAAAAATTGTCAAAATTATTTATAATTTTAATTTGTTTCTGAATTCCTTATCGAATTTTTTCTGACAGCAGAACTCTGCAATATTTGTTTTTCTGAAAAGTATGTACGAAAAATATAAATAGTGTGTTTAATTCTTTCCTTATTATTATAATTATTTTTACAGTATTGTCCTCAGAACAAAATCGAATTAAAATACGTACCATAATTTTGCTTTACTCCTGAAATTTTGTATTAATTTTTGTTTGCAGATGAATTTTAACCAAATATTTGCACCCAAAGTAGCCTTTTTACAGTTATGAGACAATATTCCGCCATAAATTGAATAATTGTAATCAAGATGTTTGAAATAAAGTGAGAAATTTATATCATTAATGTATGAAAACTTAACAAGTAAATGTTTGCGAATAATTTGAGACTGGGTTTGCGCAAGAATTTCAAGTTTAATTAAGAGAATAGGAAGACTCAACTTGTCGATCGGCAAATCAAGTGGCGCGGTTGAGCAAATTTCGTATATTAACGCGGCAGGGAGGAATTCTCGGCGGCAGAGCGTTCCAATAATTGCTCAAGGAAGGCGATAAATCCCGGCCCGATTTCTAATCTCGGCTGCTCTTTTGCTCGCTGCTCATTTCCATGCATGTATTCCGGCAGACGAGAATTTGAATAAACCAACCACTCTCACTTGAGCAGAAGATGGAGAGTCGAACGTCGATAAGTCAAACGCGCGCGAGGCAGACGAAGGGCTAATTTGAATTTATGGGTGCCGGACGAAAATCAGAACTCTTGAGGAACTTATTCTCAGCATCTGGAAAATTGGCATCATTAATTTTGAGCGTTTCACGTGACGATGTGACACAAAATTTCACAGGTACAAAATTGAAATTAAATTTAAAATATTTAAGTGGATTTATTAAAATCA